GAAGAAATTGCAGGTTTAATAAAATAAACAATTGGCATACCCTGTCATTGTCAGAATGAACTATGAAATAACATGAAGGAAAATGACGAGCATAGATTGGAATGATCTAGAAATAATGAGCATTTTGTTAGTGATATTTTTTGTGATCAGTGCTAGGATTTTCACCTTATCTGCTTCATCCCTGTGTTTCTTCATGGTTATGATGTCTACGATCACAGTACCTTCAGAACAAAAACTGTGCACACCATTAAACAAATAAATATTGAACAGGCAAGGCTTTAATACCTGTGTTTGCAGTTATAGCCCTCATTGAAGCGATTAAATCGTCTTCTACGAATTCATAGATAGGACACAATAGAGGTAGACGTATATTATAGCATAAATCAACGATGATGATATCATATTTTTCTCCTATAAGAAAACAGAGTAACTAAATTACCATGAAGAGATAAAAGTTTTTGAACACGAATGGATTGAATATCTGAGATATGGCCTCTGGAGAAATTTCGCAAGCGACAAACCTCTTCGAGCTGCATCGTGAATATACCTCACTCCATCATCTATAATCACACGATGCAAAGGCGATTCTTCGCAGCCAAACCACTTTTCTGCTATTTTTTGCATCACCGGATCGATGTCCACAACAGTGACGTTTAACTGGAAATTTTCTTTTAATCATAATTAGACTCTGCATCTGAAAGCTTCACCGTTTGATTCTTCATTTGAGTAAAGTAATTGTTGATAACGCCTCCTCCGAGTCCAATAATCAGTATATCCTGCTTAAGCTTTGTGTTGAACATTAAACCACCGCTCATGAATGCTCCAGCAATCATTGTTCGGGCATAAGTCAAGCGCACGGTATCTTTTCGTATCTTCCATATCTTTGTATTGAAGTTATCCCATTTAAGTGCTGAAAACGTACAGATTTGCACAAAAGAAGTAAATTTACGAAGAAGTTCAAGCAAATTACGTGAAGGTGGTTGAATTCTTGTCTCCGACAGCGTTAAAATTCCTTCTGGTCCTTTTCTCTTTAATTTTCTGTACGCAAGAAGCCTAAAGTTTAATTTGAGTGGAATTAATTGGTCATTATATTCTAAGAATTTTTCTTA